GCGCCTGTTGATTTTTGACGCACGCTGTATAATAATCCCAATTAGTCAGATGGTCTACTTTGTCATTCACGTCCTCCATCTTTAATGAGGAGTCACCCCGCGAGGCAGTCGGCACATTAGCGCTAATAAAGCAAAGCGGCCCTCCTGTCGTACACTTGTGTGTTGCGTTGTGCCGTTGGGTTGGGTCAAGAGGTTAGCGTTCAACCGCATCTGACTCGGCGGCGACGTATCACATGTCGATGCGGAGCTAGCCAAAACAAAAAGAGCCATGTCATTGTTTTAATGTACTGATGGTGCGATTTGTAGTGTGCGTTGGGGTGCGCCGACTCATTTGATTTTTTGTTTTTGTCCTGTGGGTAGAGGGTGTGTCTCAATGCGTGTTTTTTTTTTTTTTAAATCACCAAATCAAGTGTATTTGGACTTTTTTTGTGTACTGTGTGAACACAGGGATTCGCCAACAATTTGTGTGCCGATGTCATGAGGGGTGCATCAACTCAGGTATTTCATTTTATGTTTAGCCAACGTGGTAGAGGCCAATGTGCACGTTTTTAGCAAGTATTTGTGTGCAGTGGGTGAGAGGGTGTGCCAGCTGACAGTGTGTTTGCGAGTGTTTGCACCAAAGCAAGCCTTTTTGGAGGTGTATTTGTATGCAGGGGGCTGGAGGTGCACCAACTCAGGGTTTTCATTTGACTGTTTTCGATGCAGGCTGTCAGTTCTTTTTTTCTTTACATGTGTGAGACAGTGCTGGGGTACACCATTCTTTTGGTGTGGCTGATAGAGGGGCTGCCAACTCTGGAATTTAGTTTTCCTTTTTTGTGGGTGGTTGAGAGAGGATGTGCCAAATCAGGCTTTTTTTTTTCAGGGATGACGGGGTGCTTCAACTCAGATTTTATTTTAACTTTATATCTGTGCTATATTGTGAGCAGTGAGGCACAAACTCAGGCTTTGTGTGTGTGTGTGTGTGTGTGTGTGTGTGTGTGTGTGTGTGTGTGTGTGTGTGTGTGTGTGTGTGTGTTCTGTGTCGGCTGGTGTACCAATTCAGGCTTTTGGCGATTTTTATTGCATTCTGTGGAGAAAAGGTGCAGGGGAAAAGGTGCAGGGAGAGGGCATGCTGAAGTTGAAACTTTTATTTTATTTGTGTTGTATACTAACTTTGGCTTTTTTTTTTGGGTGGGAAATGCCAACCCAGTTTTATTTTTTTATTTTCCAAAGCACTGACTCACCAGGTTGTCTTGATGGAGTGAATACACTGAGCGTGATTGTTTTTGAGCTGATCTTGGCTGCAATGTGACATTATCGATCTGCGAACACACGCACGCACAAGCTGTGTGTTATCGCTGTGTTGTTTTATCACCTCCTCCACAGTGAAAATGAGTACTATATATATACTGTATATATTTTTTTTTCTCACTATTGCATTCAAAATAGCATGGATGCACCAACTAAGGCTTTCTTGGCAAGGCGGTGCACCAAATAGAGCTTATTTACGATTTGTGCAGCGGAGAAGGATGTGAATAGTCAGACTTTTTTTTTTGGTACACATTAACATGGGTCTTTTTTTCTTTTTTTGTGTATAATGAGCAGTGCAATCTTCAAACATGCATAAAGTGCTGTATTCAAAAACAACCCCCCCCCCCCGCCTCCTCCCCGTTGTGTTTGTTTGTATACATGCACATTCCTTTTAGACTTCCTATGTGTGGAGGTGCAAGGGGTGCGCCAAATCAGGCTTTTTGGACTTCAGGCGTATTCAGGGTAGAGGGTGTGCGTATTAGTTTTGTTTGGAGGCTCTCAGCTCATCGTGATGAGTTGTGGCCGCCCGAGGCTGCGTCCTGAGAAGAATCTGGACGGAGGTGGCAGGCAGGCGGGCGGGCTGCGGATTAAAGATGATATCGTGTGGCGGAGCAGGAATGATGGCGGAGATACTGGCCAAGTTGCTGGCGAAGTGCAGTGCATCCCACAAGTTCGCTTGTAGAATACTGACGAGAGTTGTGGTGTGCCGAGGATCAATTGAGACTTCATTTCACTTCTTTGGCTACACCGGAGTCAGTTTTGCTGTGGCCCGACAGGGTTTTGCTTCTTTGTCGTGCAACAGGGTTCGCTCGTTGAGCACACACCACTCGTTTGGTGCACAGTGAGGTAGACTTGAGTGGTGCGCACAAGGTTTGCATGTCTGGTTCTTACTGGCATCCAGTTGAGCAATTGCAAACTTTGGTGTGTGGTAAAAAACTAAATGGTTCAGTTGTTTGGTGCGCATCAGTGTTCTGTAGGTGTTTACTCAGTTGAGTGCGCTCAAGCGTTTGCTTGTTTGCTGCGCACCAGATGTTTTTTTTTTTTTCATTTGGGGTAGGCTTGTTTTGTGGAAAACGTGTTCAGTTCTTAGGTGTACACCAGGATTCTGTTGATTGGTGTGAACCCAAGTTCACTCGCTTGGCACACTACAGTTTTTTGCTTCTCTGGTGTTAAATTTTTTGGTGCGCACCCACGTCCACTTGATCGGTGGGCTCTTGTGTTTGCTTGTTTGACATACACCAGGGTTCACTTTTTTTGGTGTGCACCAGGGTTTGTATGTTTGGTTCTACCAGGGTGGCGTTGTCCAGTTGCAAACTTTGGTGTGCACCAAACAACCGAACCCTCATGAGTATCAAAGAAGTACCAGGTACTAGGATTCACTTGTTTGTTCGCACCAGGGATAAATTGTGTGGTTCACTTGTTTTGCGCTCACCACCACTGGTCCGCACCGGTTCAGATTTTTTTCAGGGTTTCTTTGTCTGGTGTGCACAAGGATTCCGTTCTTCGATGGATCAGGGACCGCTTGCACCTGTATGGTGCGCCAGTTGTTTGGTGTGCACTGGTTGAGTTTTTTTTTTTCAAAAGTCTCAGGGTTACCTTGTCTGGTGTGCAATAGGATTCAGTTTTTGGTGCACAACATTGTTTGCTTGTTTGGTTCACAGTTCCTCATTTGGTTCCCATCCAAGTTGATTCAATTGATGCCCACAGGTTTCCCTTGTTTGGTGCGCACCCAAGATCACTTTTTTGATGCACACTACTTGTTTGGTTCACACCATTAATTAGTTTTGTGCCAGGATTAAGTTGTTTAGTGTTAGATTCACTTGTGAGATGCCAACCAGGGCTCACTTGTTTGCTGCTCCATTTTTCGTTGTTGTTGACTTGCACCATGTTTCGGTTGTTTTGTGCACACTCGGGTTCACTTGGTGCACCACAGCTCACCTGCTTGGCTCGCACTAAGGTAGACTTGATAGGGTTCATCACATGGTGTCACATTGACTAGGTGAAACGAATAAAGTGTCTACTTGTTTTTTTTTTTCTTTGACGAGGATACCAGCAGGATCCAAAAAGAAATCCCAGGGAGTGAGAAATGAGTTCCTGCGGCGCAGTAAATAGTAAAAGCAAAGAGAGGATGAAGTGCACACATTAATCCCGGAGTCGGAGCAATCTTGTAATCCACTCACTATGCTAATTGCCTGTTCTTTCTGCTGCAAAGGGGCCTTTTACAGGCCATTAAATGGCACTGAGCGCTTGACAAAGGATCACCAGCACGCGCACCCCCCCTCACCCCGCACCACCGCCTATCCACTCACTCTCTATTTTACACTCAGTCAGGCTGTTGCACGCCCACACGCTGCTCTTTCAAATAAAACGGCAGAAAATAAGCGACGCCGGCAGGCGTTGTTTATTTTTGAGATATTGTCAGCAAGGATGTGCAAATTGCGTTCCCACTGTGATGCGAAGGTGACAAATCGCGCACCAAAACACACCTTTTGATCTGTGTGTGCACGCTGTTCTTTTTTTTTTTTGCGCCGGTGAATAATTTATAACATGCTGAGTGCTGTTGTCCATAGACACTTGTGCAAAAGCATGGCAACACCAATTTCTTTGTGTGTGGCAGAAAGGGGGTGTACCAACTTAGACTTTTTGTTTCTTTGTACTCGCACTCATCCTCAAGTAAATATGTTCACCAACGTTGGCTTTCATTTGGAGAGATGGTGTGCCATATCAAGCTTTTTTTTGGTAATTTTATACCATGTGAGAAGAAGAAGTGGGTGCACCAAGTTTTTATTAACTTGGACACACCCCCAAGTCAGCTTTTTGTGGAAAGGAGCTTCTTTCAATTTAGCCTTTTCTGTACTATTTGTGATGGAAGAGACGGTGCGCCAACTCGTTCTTTTTTTTTTTTTTTTGGGGAGGCGAAGTGGGCGCACCAAATTTTTGAACAGGTTTGTGTGCAGAGTCGAGAGGGGGTGCTATTTTTTTAAGCTCTTTTTTTGTGTATCAGGGAAAAGCATGGAGCTGCCGTCAGCCTCAGCTCACGCCCACACGCTCACACGCCGACTCATGACTAACGTCACATAGCAGGCCACCTGGCCCTGCCTCTTAAAAGGCCCGTTTTTCTATTTTCTATATTTTGTGCTTGTTATTTGTATGTTTGTGTGCAGATAGGTTACAGTGCTTTGACAGTGTGCTTTGATACATTGAGTGATATGATCTCTCAATATTTGCGGATTTTTACCTCTTGTGAGCAGGCCTGGGCTGTATCTAGTCCAGGTTAACAGTACTTTATTGGTACAAAAAAAAAAGAAAGAAAAACGAGGTCATATAAGAGCGTTGTCACCCTCTCTCCACTGCCATCCATCACTGGCGAGGTTCAAGTGTCAGTGCGGACGATGGCTTTTGGAGCCCCCCAAAATTAACAACAAACTAAAGGCGGCCGATCGATAGATTGTGTCTGGAGAAATGATGAAGCGGCACTTCACAAGAGGGAAAATCAATGGCGCTTGCTCTCTCGTGTGCCTCCATCTTTCTTTTGCACAACTTCAGCTTGAGCTTTACTGCGCGCACGTGTGTGTGTGTGTGTGTGTGTGTGTGTGTGTGTGTGTGTGTGTGTGTGTGTGTGTGTGTGTGTGTGTGTGTGTGTGTGTGCGTGTGCGTGTGCGTGTGTGTGGCTAAGCCATTTAATGTTCCTTTTGTTTCTTCCCTTTTAGGCCGGAAAGGACCCTCTGCCACTTTGATGTGTGAGCTCAGTGATGGCCCCGCAGTGGAAGTAAGTGTGGCGCTTTCACCGTTTTTATTGGCCCTCCCCGTATCCGTCAACAGCTTGCCCAGGTTTTCATGTTGGTTACACGTACGCCTTGTGCAATTTAGGTAAATGTAGTTGTCACAAAAAGCCCAACATGTAACAAGTTCAGTGGTACTTATTCCGGGCCTTGGTGCACCCCGCAGTCGACGGGTAGATTGCGATGAATCATATTGGAAATGGAGTGAATTACATAGGGTGAATTTTGGAATTGGCGTGAATTACATTGTACTCTAATTGCAATGAATTTTATCGTAACGGGTGAGTGAAACGCGTCGTAATTGGAGCAAATCGTCTCAAAATAGGAGTGAATCGATTTGTAATCACATTGAATCGTATTTAAATTGTAATGAATCGCCTCGTACTTGGTTCAAATGGCCTTGTCTTTCAAGTGAATTTTATTGTAATTGTAAATAATCACGTATTGGGAGGGAATTGTATCATGATTAGCGTAAATCCTGTATTGATTGTAGTCAATCGAAATGAAATGAAAGTGAACTGCATTGTAACGACAGGAAATCGCATTGTGATTGGAACAAGACATATGATCTCGTAATTGGTTTGAATCGGGAGTAAATTGGATCATAATTGTAAGGAAGGAGGTCGTATTGCATCCCAACCGGAGTGATGCGTATCATCTTCGAAAGGATTCCAATCATTGGGGATCGCATCTCAATTGGTGTGAACAGCGATGTGTCATAATTGTAGACATTCCGCGCTATTTATAACACACGTTGGTACAGTCCGCAGTAGGAGGAGGAGGGGTGAGCAGTGGCTCATTTGCATAATACAGGACAGCTACCCCAAAACGTGCTAATTTCAACACTGCTGTGAGGGGATGGAAAGTGACCTATGGGCTTGACTTTTGGTTTCAAAAACTTGCAAAATAATACATGTCCATCCAGTGTCGGGTTTTTTTGGTCTTTTTAATTCGTTTGCAGTGACAACACTGCAAGCCTTTGAAAAATAATCCCATTATGTTTCCCGGGCATTACGTTAATAAAGTTCTCAGAGCGGAAAATCAGAGCCTCTGGAGCTCGATATTAGCTCTTGTTGTGCGGTGGCCATCCAGTCGAAGAAAGTCTGACGAGAAGAAATCAAACTGAAGGTTGTGGCGTGGGTCCGCGGACAGCACAGTTTTGACTCTGTGATGTGTTGTTGTTGTTGTTGTTGTTATCCTGGCGGCATGCAGAATACAGCGAGTGTCATATTGGACAGGAATAAAAGAGTCATGTGACAGACTTGATGCAATTTGATGGTCACCATGGTTACCAACCCGCGTCACTCAGCGATGAATCCTTCCACCCATCACAACCCTTTCGTACACCCTTTGACCTGATAACATGATAAACTGTCCACTGTAGTGACCGCTGTCCCTGAAAGGGTTAACATGTGAAGGACTTTTGATGCTTAACTTTCATCAAAATGAAATCCCGTTAGCGTCGTACGTTTTGAAACTGGCGTCAATTTTTGGGTGTTTTTTTTTTTTTTTTTAAGTGGGTCATACCCTAATTGAACGGCATCATATGCATTTTAATTAGTGGATGGCAATTTATTGGAGTATATTGTTCTGTAATTGGAGTGTATCTTATCCCAGCCTCTTGTTTGGAACGCGTCACATCTTAATTGGAATGCTTCATGCCCAAATTGGAGTGTGTATATTAATCGGAGCCGATCCTAGAACATTATTCTGGCTCCTGAAGAGCCACGGAACATTCGTTTTCTGTTTCTGTAGTTACAGAGCTGCTTTATTTAGTAAAGTCAATTTATTACTGTGAAGGGCACACCGCATGTTGTTGCGTGAGACACTAGCTGTTTTACGTTGTACGGGGAACCTCCGAAAGATGGACTGCAACTTCGTGCCCTAAGCCAAGCACAGCCTGGATGTCCGTATTATGTAAATCTATGCAATATTATTAATTAGTGGGGGTGTGTTCACCGTGAATTTACATTTGAGGGACGTTCCAATTGTTTACGATTAGCATTTACGTACAGCGATTAGCGCATTAGCTCGTGAACATTAGCTACACTAGCGTCGTCACGCATTCGTCATGTATCAGACCAGTGGGTCACATTGTTTTGCCACGTTTTATTTTGCAAAAACGTGTGTTTTTAGATGTGTGTGTGTTACAGTTTTACACCTTCTTGACTCGCCTCAGCGGTGAATAAATTGCAAGAAACATCGACGGGTGTGGTCATTGAAGGAGTTAACTGTCTGTCTAGCCGCAGCGGGGACGTGGCGAGGGCAGAACAAACAGATACGAGAAGATCACATTTTATTTGGACCGTGTCATTTCCCAAACGCAGTGTATCGCTTGGCATCATAATCGAAGTGACTTGTATCCGAATTGGAGTGAGTCAAATCAGAGCGCGCATCATAAAGTGGATTTTAATGTTTCGCCTCATAATTGGGGCCAACATTGTCAGACCATAATTAAATTGTGTTGTATTCTAATTGGAGTGCTGTTGGATTGGATGATGTTGCACGGAAATCTTCATTGGTGTGCCGTGTGTCTTCATTGGAGTGCGCTGCGTTTTATTTGGAGTGGAGTCGATCATAATTGTTGCGTGTCCTGTCACAGTGCAATTGCGGCGATTGTAATCGGGCTTCGGCGTTGTGGCGTCGCAGCTCAAGCGATCCGTGTTGTGTCGTAACTGGAATGTGTTGTATTCTAATCGGAGTGACTTGTATTGTCTTGAAATTAGCGCGTGTCCTCGGTGAGGCGAGGCCGCCTCATTTATACTGTATAATGCATTACATACACAAGGTCACTCAATGTGCCTCATAGAATTAAAAACACAATATTTGAAAAGCATTTACAAACGACAGAATGGAAAAATTACATACAGTGCGCAAGAACAAAATTAGATTTTCCAAATGCTTTGAAAACCTTAATTAGAAGATCTGAGGAAAAAAATAAAACATCTTTATGAACCTGAATTTAAAAGCATTTATACTCCTTTTACTGACTTCCCTTTTGTTGGCATCTTATTGCATTTGCATGCGGCATAACGGCTACTTGCTGATTCACCGTGTTTGCTTTCAATTCTCCAATCGACTGGATCATATCGCATCGTAATGGGGTGAATCATTTCATCATCGTGAACGGAGGGAATCATTTTGCACCGGAATTGGAATAAATCCAAACTTATTGGAACAAACTAGTGAACAAATCTTTTTTTTTTAACAGTAACTGGGGTGAATTCCATCATAAAAGTATCATATGACACAATGTGAGTCCTATCACTTTGTAATTTGGAATGAATGGGATGGTTAAATAAAGGGAAAAGCAGTCTTCATTCGAAGGAGGCTTTTTGACATCATTGATCCTCCATCGGGTTAGCGACCGCGTTGCGTTTGTTCCCACAAGCTATCAGGAAGAAAAAAAGGATGACGTCTCCCGCTTCCACCGTCCGCTGTCTTCGCCCCACCGAGGTGACTCCGCAATCGTGCGACACCCGGACATCTCCTCGGGGGGATAAAAGATGAGTTCGCCTCGGCGGAGGTACATTGCTCGAGCGCGCCCGTGATGCGTTTGGCCTTTTGTCACCGGGCAAAAGAAACAAACGATGGTGTCCAAACTTCCTGACGTTCAACCGCAGAAGGAGGTGAATTCCGGGCCAGCACTCTGGCCTCAGAGCTCCACGAGGATAAAGAGCTCTGACCTAATTAGCTGACTTTGTTAAGTAAAAGTGCACAGAGCCCAAGCCCCAACCACCCCCACACCCCCCCTTGAGTGTTTCCTCTACGACGTGATTACAGCTTTAATGAGCTGCTGGGAGACCGTTTGTATCCTTACACTGTATGCGCTAAAGCAGCTGCTCGTATTTTTTTAGTTTTTTTTTTTTTTTTACCACCTTAAAAAAAAAAAAATAAAAGTGCCACCGTCCTGACCAACGTTACTAATCAGTTTTGTCAGAGCCCTTAATGGTCATCAAAAGTGAGACAAGATGTTTGATCCCTAAAAATGTATTATTGTGAACGAAAAAGCACGTGCTCCAGGGAGGGCCCTCCCCCCCACCACCCCCCGTGACCCTTGTGAGGATAAAGCAGATCGGAAAATGGATGGATGGATATAGTGTAGTCGTGTTGAAACATCTATGTAGCTTGCTTGCCTTTTTGTTCTCTTGAATAAATAGTTTTGGATTCCCGGGTCTTGCCTACCCGCTTCCCTGCACTTGGGTCTTCAACCATTGCAAACTTCGGCATCGATGATGTCAGCACGTTAAGAGTACCATCCCATCATATGAGCATATCTCTTGTACGTCAAGAAGAGATGACTATCTTAGTTTGGATGCCACTCAATGACCTGCAACTGGCCACCGGATAATCACACGAAAACCTCCAATGCTGCAGTATAATGAAAGCTTGATTTGCAACCTTCAAGTCATCCTTACTACCGGCCTGCCTGCCTGCCTGCTTTTGTGCTGCTTGCTCGGAGGCTAATCACGCTGCAGCAAGATGATCAATGGTGCCTTCCACGGCCAAACGCTCTGCCGGACTTAAACAAGCCGCCTGTCACCGCACAAAGATTTTCTGCCGCTGATGGCTGAGGATTTACTTTGACTTGAGCGCCTCACTGCAGACGTTCGTTCCCACACACTCTCCGACCGAGAGAGAAAATGCGGGGAAACATCTTCTCTTCTTGCTCCCTTTGGATGAGCAAGAATCCCACTGGTTTTGTTTCCGTTATCGAGTGTTAGTGTTCTGTGTCACGGGAAGAGCCCTATTGATACTGACACAGGTCAAACACCTTACCGTCTTTATCACGTGTCAACATCTTTTTTTTTTTTTTCCTCAAATCCTCAGGATGATTTTTCCGTGTCAACACATCATCCTATTCCTTTTCGGTGCCACCAGATCACGGGTCATAATTATTTTATACAGTTTTTTTTTTTTTTTTTTTGGAGAAACACAAATCTGAATTCACCTTACAGGGTCTTAAATGCCTTACTCGCGGTATTTTCTGGAGTATCGGTCGCACCAGACATAAAATGCATAACAAACAAGAAAAGAAAAAAAAAACATATGTCGCCCTGGAGTGTCAGTCGCATTTTTTGGGGACATTTATTTGTTAAAATCCAACACCAAGAACACACGTCATCTTGAAAGGCAATTTAAAATAAAAATAAAATATCAAACACGCTATGCTAACGTTACATGACGCATAAACAACGAACTGAGAACGTGCCTGGTCGGTTCACGTAACATATTAAGACTTATTCAGATAACTCTAGCTAAAGAACATGCTAACAAGTTTACCAAACCATCAGTATCACTCCAAATCACTAAATCCAATGAAATCTTCATGTCAGTTTTAAACAACACCAGAAGTAGCAGCTGCAGCGCTTCCTATTCGACGTCACCTACGTCACTCTTCGTTGAGCTATCAACAGGCCTAGTGCGCCCTCTTGCGGTTTAGTGTGAAAATAACACGTGAAATGAGATAATAATGTATTAATAATTTCACTCAAAAGTTGCACCCCAGGCCAAACTATGCAAAACAAACAAACAAACTGATTTATCGCCCGGAGAGTATGGTAAATCCATTACCGTTAACTCCCTACCCCTAACCCCTTAATCCAAACATTAAAATTAGTACAGCGCAAGCACCCTTTCAGTTTGCCATGATACTGTATTTGTTTTGACTATTTTTAAATAATTGTCCTGACTGGTTTTGAACAATATGCGTCTGGGGGTTAGGCGGGAACGCCACATAAATTCAAGAGACACCTCGATTCTTCTTCCGTTGTGTTGGCATAAATTCAATCAATTTCACAGAGGAGCCACCAAGGAGCACCTTGGGAAAATGTATCAGGTAGCAAGAGCGAGCTGAAGGACTCGGAGCGAGCCTTTAATGATGACTTAACAACAACAACAACAACCAAAAAAACTGCATGCCTTTTTTTTTTCCTTTATCTCGGAGATGGAATCCTCTGCGGGCGGAAACGTGAAAGGAGAAACGTGCGTGCGTGCAGGCAAGAGGAAATGTAAACGAGTGAGGGAGGGTGTGTAGGGAGGAGTTGTGACAGCCAGCTTGTCAAAATTCTACCATGAATATTGCACCACACCTCACACTCTGAACACAGACACACGCATACATATACAGAAATGAACGAATGGATGGATGAATGATGATGTGGAAGGAGAAGGATGGAATGGATAGAATGTCTCGAGGATGGATGGATGAATGGATGGATGCCTGATGAGGATGACGGATGAACGGACAGATGGGCAGTTGGACGGATGATGGCGATAGATGAATAGATTAATGGAATACATGGATGACTCGTAGATGTTGAAAGGGTGGCTGATGGTGTGGAGGCGTGGACTGTTGGATGGATGGATGCCCGCATGTTTGACTAACAGATTTTAGCTGCAGATGGATGGTTGGAAGTCGATGGAGTAGGTGGGTTGGTGAATGGATGAATGATGTCAAATACATTCCGCTGCCCTCTTCCAAACAATGACATTTCTCAACACGACCATTTTGTTGCTCTTCTGCCATTCGTACTATACTGCACTCCACCATGCAAGTGCCTCATGTGGTCACCACCCTGGGTGTAAGTGTCGTCTGTATGCTTCCCTGGGGGCCTCCTGTCTACAGAGCCGGCGAGGAACCCCGGAGAGAGATCGTCACGCTGACCTGATTTCCTTTTCTCTCTTCCATCTCACTCTCACCTGAGACAGTTTCGGGGCCATTTTGTGGAGAGGACCGCTCTGAAATGACACCGCGGTCGGTTACAGTCCACTGACTTGAGCGTTTGCCATTTTTCACAATTTGGTCAAATTAATTTGGCGCATAATTGCCTTCTTGATGATGCGTGACACTGTCATGAATACTCATCAAACTGCGCCCAGTCCATAATCCCTTAAGAGGAAATGGCACCCATCCACTTTCTGGAGCATTTAGCTTTTGTAGAACCAAGACTGAGGACTCCATATCGGCTGACGGTGGGCTAAAGGCACACTACGCACTGGATTGATCGCCTGTCAAGCAACTGATCGCAAGTCAATCACCACAGATTTGTCATCCGTTAATCATGTTGGATTGTTTGCCAGTCAGTTATCCTGGATTGGTCACCCGTTACTCTGGACTAGAATCCGGTCACTCACCTTGGACGGGTTGCCAGTCAGTCATCTTGGAGACACTGACATGGAATGGAGTGGTCAAAGTCAATGCCGGTGTTTTCCATCTTTGGAGGAATTATCTGACGTTTCTATATAACGGGATAGCATATCGGCCACCCCCCCCCCCCACCAACTGTCATCTTAAAGGCAAATGACTGTTGTGATATTGTCAAGATGCAGCTGTTGGCACAATAAAGAACAAAAATTGCAGCCTCTTCACATTGCCCCCATAACCTCAACCACTGAAATGAAATTCCGGTTCAGTCCATATGCAAAAGACTCCGGTAGAGGGATCTACGTTGGTGTATGACTAAATTGTAAAAAAGCGATGTTGCATAATTGTTTGCCAGATAATTAATTGGTGTTTAGTGGTGAAGTTGGGGACATAAATCAGGTCTGCTGGCAGTCAGCCGGCTGCCATATCGATGGCATCGCTAATGAGGGCAATAATGAGAGATGCTTTAGGACCATGCGAGCCGCCACCAACAATGGAAACATCTGCGCCACATTGCACATATTTCATCTCCTGCTCCGAAATACCACTGTAATCATCCTTCCAGCAACTTTGTTACAGCTGTGGTGGTTTTTATAACGTGCTCTATAATTAAAGTTGAGTTGAGATACAATACATTTAATTCCATTTACGATTGATGATTCACACCGAGTGTGATGATCTATGATGTGATATTTTTCTGCCACCTCCAATGTGTTTATCTTATGTGCTTATCTCCAATAGCAGCACCCACACTTGAACGATATATTTTCCCGAGGTAGTTTTGTTTCACTCCAAGGCGGACCAGGAAGCGGGTGACCACACAGAGAAAGAAAAATGAAGGCGTGCTGCTGCTGCCGCGGCGTCCTGATTTCTCACAATTAGCTGCGCGCTAGCAAACATCCTTGACGCCACTGACCTCTCGTCACACAGTGGCCGTCACGACTGGAAGCCTCTCCTGGCTTATTATGGCTCCGAGTGTTATGGTAATGGGAGGCGGGTGTGTGTGGCGGTGATAGCGCCGCGGGAAAGGATAGCCTATTATCCGCCGCTGTGTGCTCTTATCCACCGCCGGCCGATGCTAATAATGGTGCGGGAAAGGGCGACCTTTCTGCGATGGTGATAATTCAGGTGGATGGAGAACAGTGCAAATATATAACGTGCATTTGTGCGATGAAGCACCGGTGCTGTTGCCTGCTCTCAATCTGTATAGGTTTCTTTGTAATATACATTTTTAGTAGCTTTCACTATTTAGCACAACCACAGTGCATCATTAATTAATATGTTTACCATCAGTCTTAGCTTTAGCTAGCTAGCATTATCACAACCCTATTTTTAATGAACAGAGTTAGCAGTGGCTTAAACAGCGCAACTTTATTTCACAATTGCCAGTTGCTTTAGCCAGCATACATTCAATTAATGTGGACAAGTTAACACACATTAAATCACATACATCATGAGCATTAGCAAGATAAAATATGAATACGGTGCGCCACTATTTGACATGCATCGTCAGCATTAGCAGTAGCTGGCTAACATGACCGCAGTGTTTGCATACACCTTTAGTTTTTGCCAGCTAGCACAACTTGACTCCATTTTTTTTTTTAAAACAAAATTGAATTCCTTTGTCATTAGTGTTCACTTTAGCCTGAGTATATGTACTATGTAGCCGTGTGTAAGACGTTCGGCATGCCAGCTTCGTATATTTTCCCCACCCGCACCATATCCATGAAATACTCCACAGTGTGACATGGGCATCTCTTTGCTTCTCAGGAGCAGCTGACAACTTCCTGGTTTGAGTCCACCTGACAGTCCACAAACACGCCTGAGACTACAGTAAGAGATCAACTCTGAAGTGTGATTTTGGTGATAATCCCAATCTAAAGACGCCACCCCCCCGCCCCCCAAAAAAAAATGCTTTATGGAAAAAAAAAAATTGCTATCTGAGCGAGATGAGCATTCATAGATTCCTCCAAGTGGTGAATTCACAACCTGTGACAGATTGAAAGTGTGGAAAAAAAACCCAACATTGTTTGTGTTGGCTGGCTGGCTGCTGCCCACAGTCTTTATCTGCCAGAGGAAATATTGACCAGCAATACTTGCACTTTGCTGGCGTTATTACTTTTTACACTGCGCATGCGTGTGTGTGTGTGTGTGTGTGTGTGTGTGTGTGTGTGTGTGTGTGTGCGCGTGCATGCGTGTGTGTGTGTGTGTGTGTGTGTGTGTGTGTGTGTGTGTGTCTGTCCTGTGGACAAATAACACATTTGTTTGAGTAAAGAGAACACAAGCAAAAGTGTTTTGGTGAGCCGCAAAAACCCTGAGGAGTCTCTGAATTAATGTTTTATGGCTTATGTGTGTTAGTGTGTGGACGGCAAAATAATTGTGCTGGTGCAAATCTACTTGGTCACTTTTTAAGGGGGACCAGGGATCTAACTAACCCTAACCTCAACCCAAACCAACTATCATTTTAACTACCATAATCAACCCTAACATTAAGTCTAAGCCCAACTCAAATTAACCCTCACCTTAAACCTTTAGGCTATAATTTTAATAGCGAGAGTGATTCCATCAATAGTTTGTGACTGTGACCCCTGTAACATTTAGCAGGTGAACCTGAGCTTTATTACAATGCCCCTTCATGCACATCAGACACTCTACTATTGTTATTGCACTTTTTAAAGCGGGCATTGTAATTGCCGCACGCCCACTTTTTCAGCTTTTAAATGTCTGTCAAGCCCCCGGTGGAGTGGCACACTCCAGTCAAGAAGGCCCTTGACACTTGGTGACGGCACGGGACTTGAAAGACTGAAGCTGATTAAAGATTCACTAAAACACATTCCGCTGGAAAGGCTTTAAAGAGGCTTTAAAGATGAGCATCTGGACTGGAAATGCATCAAAAGGCTTCTTAGGATGGGTGAAGCAGCCTGTGGCTCAGCTTTTTTTTGGATGTTTCAAGTCACTGTAAGCAATTGCTGTTCCACACTGTTCCAATCTGGTGGTTTCAGTCTTTGGTCCATAGCAGGCGGTGTTGCTTTTGCCAATGGTTTTCGTCCTTGGTCTGTTTCTGGTGATATTGGTCCTTGGTCCATTCCAGGTGGTCTTAGTCCGTGTTCCTTTGGGGGTGTTCTTGGTCCTTGGTTGTCTGCAAGTGGTTTACTCGTATGGTTCTTTGCAGGAGGTTTTGGTCAGGTGCATGCGGTCTGGACCCGTTCAGATAGTTCTGGTCCCTTGCAGGTGGTTTTAGTCCTTGGTCCATTTTTAGGTGGCCTTATGATGTTCGTCACTTTTTGGTAGTTTTGGTCCTTGTTCTATGGTGAGTGGTTTTTGTACTTGGTCCTCCTGATCCGTTACAATTGGCTTTGTGTTGTTGGTCATTCTTTTTGTTGGTCTGTGGCAAGGGATTTTGGTCTCAGGTGGTTTTGTGGTGTTGGTCAGTTTTTCGTGGTTTTGGTCCTTGTTGTATGACGCTTGATTTCGGACCGTCATCTGTTTAAGGTGGTTTAGTGATTTTGATCCTTGGCCTACTCCAGATGGTTTAATAACTTGTATCGGCGCAGTGGTTTAAAAATGTTTCCTTCCTTCATTTTTTTTAATCTCTTATTCAAATGACTTGGCCCATCAGTGTGATTTCAAAGCTAAACAAAAACAGCTGTGGCCCTTGAGCACAGAAACCTGCCCACCTCCTGGTTTACATTTTACTTCCTCTCCTGTGGGCCTGTAAAAACAGCGAAGGAGCAACGAAATGACACTCTCTCCAGCAGTAAAATGGGGCCTTGACCTCATCTCCTGAGCTCACCAAAGAAAAGAACCTCCTCGAGCTTACCGATTGCCAATTTGCGACTCTTGGGAAATTCAGCCCCCCCACACACACACACCCGCGGAGTCACGGTAAGACAGCAAAACAAACACAAACGCCACGTAGGCCCTTGTCATCACGCCAGCGCTTCCCTCCCGCTAATAAGCAAGCGAAGCTCCTCTCGAGCATCTGGTCGTGTTTTTACAAGGCCGTCAATGCACGCCACTCCTCGTTCATCAGCAGCTGTTAGCCACGCATCCTCGCACCTAATTGCTCCTGCTCGCACGCGGGGCCATAGCGCAACAGAGCCTGATGGATGCTGGGTGCAAACAGGGAGCTAATTGACTGGAGTTCTTTTCCTTAAGTCACGAGTTCATTGATAACTGCCCTTGATCGCTGAGATCAATGGAAATGCAATCTCCTGTATGAAACCTAGTTGCAGTGATGCGGACCAAAACAAGCAAACCATGTTGCCCACCAAACCATGAAACCTTGGTGCTCACTAAATGAGCAATCTCCGGTGCATCCCAAATGAGTAAGAAGAAAAGAACCCCGGTGCCCACCAAACAAGGTTCCTGTGGTTCTTCCGCCTCGGCTGCCGACACACCCGCCATATGTAACTTGGAAATGTGTCCACAACCACCAAAGAGGGCTAACTCGTTGAAGTCTGAGGGTGGCTCTAATTTCCATATCGTGGATTTTTCATGAGACACGAGAATTCCATAGAGATTGACTGTGAAATTAGCTTGCGTCTTGGATCTGGTGGTTGGATAAAGCCCCAGAGTCTTGGAAATGGCTTTGTAACCTTTTCCAGACTGACAGATTCCACAATTTCCAATACCATTTTTCTAATTTGGGATCGTGGAAGGATGCGTTTGTTTCTTGAGATCTTGTAGCCTACTTCACTTTGTCTGACAGATTCTGTTTATGTGATTTCTTGATTCAACAAATATGGGGCTCGGTGAAATTGAATTCAGCTTTCAAAAACTATCGTTCGTCACAGTTACTTTGTGATTTAACAAGGGTGGGGGGGCAATTACTTTTTCACATAAGGGACAGGTAGTATTGTTTTTGTTTTTTTGTGCCTTAATGAATGAAATTGACATTAGAAGAAACTGCATTTTGTATTTCCTTGGGTGTAGTCTCTGCGTGATATTGAAATTGTTTTGATGAAGTGAAACCTTTGTGATAAATATGCAAAAAACACAGAAATCAGGAAGGAGACAAATCCTATTTCGCAGCACTGTAGATACTGTTGTCATACATGGGAGTGAGTCGTGTCCCTGCCGTTGTGTTACGTGAATTGGTATCAGAATTTCCAACTGTCTGTGAGGCAAGGTGTGCACCAAACAACAAAGTCCAGAGTTCCCTTGTTTGGTGAGCACCAGGACTCACTTGTTTGGTGCGCCGCAGGGCTCACGCTCTTCGGGGATCGCTTGCTTTGTTTCACACTTGGGTTCCCTCGTCTGCTGCACCCAAAAAAAAAGATGCACACCCATGCGAGCAAACTTTGTTATCAGGGTAAGTAAGTAAGTAAACAGAAGGTTTGTTTATATGTATTTTTTTTCCCCGAAGGATGTCCTCTACGCCCTTTTTTTTTATCTCTAATACACAACCTGATGTGAATCGGAACACTGTGGGAATTGAAGTCAGCCAACCGTGAACGCATCATCATCATCATCATCGTCGTACCCTCTGTGTGTGTGTGTGTGTGTGTGTGTGTGTGTGTGTGTGTGTGCGCGCGCGTGTGTGTGTTGTGTGTGAGTGATTAGCGTACATATTTGCTCTGCTCTGCATTGGCTCTTGAACCAAGCAAAAACACTCACAGTTTGTTGACGCACAGTGACGCCATTGCTAACCCTCGAATAACAAAAGTCCGCCCATAATGGTCGAGGTTGTGTTGATGAGAGTTAGTTTTGTTTCATGTTGGGGTTATTTTTTTTGGCCAAATTTTTGGGTGGGACTTGGTGCGAAACATTTGAGAACTACTGTGAAAAAAAAAATTCGTTCAAAAATTAAAAAGGAATTTTTCTGTCCTTTTTTTTTGTTGTTGTTTGTTTTGCCATGTGACAGAAAAGTACAAATAGCCTATTTTTTATTTTTGTTTTTTTTCTTTATGGAGGCAAGGGTCCAAAATAAAATCTCCAAATAAGGAATGCCAAACCTCAAATATGCAAGGGTGCACTGTACTTGTGAGCTGCTGTCAGCCACAGCTCACGGCCAGACACTCGCACCACCTTTTTTTTTTTTTTTATTCATGCTTGCAGTTCCCTTTTTTCATTTGATACATTCAAAAGAAAAAAATCACAAGTGGCCGGGGGTTGACTCTTTTCATGAAGCCTCCGTCTTTATATGTGGCATCGCTACGAAGACACTGCAACTGGAGGACGGAAAGTCCCTGAGTAGTTCTTCCCAAAGTTGAAAAGATAATTGTGTCTTCGCGAGGAGGGGCATTGATCTGCGTGACCCCCTGAGCAGGTATGAGGGTCCCTTCTGCGGTGTTGTAATTACTTGCGCTGATAGAGGTGACGAGAGGACGCCGCCTGCTTCCCAGGAAAACCGCCCCCTTCTCCCCCGCTTGCCATATGCAGCGTTTAATGTCAGTGTAATCTGTAAAGGTTAGCGCTGTACATCTCCACAAGTAGCTGAATCAGTGCTCTGGAAACACACTGTGACATTAAGAAGCCAGGCGCCCTTTAGTCTGCTTTAATACGACCACACTTTGTGTGATTCGCTTCGATCGGTAACAGTACTCACGCTCGGGCGTGCGGCGGAAACCATCTCTTCCCGGCCTGTGTTCAGATATCGTCTCAATTTGGAATGACTAATGAAGGTAGTTTGTGTACCCGTTCCCGTATGAAATTTTAGTTTTACTCTCGAACAATGAATTGTTTTAAAAACACAGTAGCAATGCTCTCTCTGTTGTTTTGTACTCACTCCATTTTGTGTCGCCTCCCTCTTCCCCCTTCTGCTTAGTGTCGACACACAGATGCAGCCTCACATCTTGACCAATCACACGTGGCTTGAAGAGTAAAAAGGA